CAGCAATGTCCAACTGCTTTCAGTTCATCAATATACATGTGTTATTACTCAAAATGAATTACTCGTGCTCTGCAGAGAGAGTGAGGGTGATTTAAAGAGTGAGGATGGTTTTGTCTGTTTTACTAATCCATAAACACACACATACGCATCCATGAGCATCTTGATAAGGATAGGAGCCAGAAGATGAGAATCTGCTGTTCCCTCAATGGTCTCTTCCTGCTCGCCTTTCCTAGAGTAGTGAACTGATCATGCTGAGAGGGATTCTAGTGTTAAACATGCATATCTCTGTATAACATGAGTTTTAAACACAAGCCCACCATTTCATCTGGCTCCTAACTGAAGAATCAGTAACCCATTTCAATTCCAGAGGAAACACTGTGATCAGCTTCTTGAGAAGTAGGACGACTTTATACCTTATGGGTGTTCTCAAGGATTTCAAGGGATAATTTTGACTAAATATGACTTCACCTTGTATGCCAACTGTAGGGCTCATTGTCTTGTAGGATGAGTCTTTACTGTCTCTTTGTATTTACATCCTTTCTTCTTTGTTGGATCAGCATACTCTGAAGCCATATCTGTGTCTCCCTTTCATTTGGGGCTTTGTGGAGAGTACTCTGGACTGGCTCACTCAATGTGGCAATACAAAATCTATCATGATAGCTTATTTAATAAGTGTTCAATGAAACTTATTGAATAAATGAGTAAAATAACAAAGGAACAGTGGAATTGGATGATCTTATTAGAAAGAAGAAGATACTTTCTTTTTTGTGAGAGACAGTTGTGGATCAATGGAGTATCAAAGAAGCAAGGCACCTTGGGATTGTTTAATTAAAACCCCTTTTATGATAAATCCTAGAAAAGCAAAGTGATTTTACCCAACATTTCTTTCATTTAATCATTCTGCTTATCCTTTTCTGGATAGATTTCTAGGTTAGCCAAATCCCTTTTAAAGTACAATAACTAGATAAAAAAAAACCTCTAGTATTAACTACCATGGTCTCTCTGTGGACAGATTTCCCCTTTAGCATTTGCATGTTACACTAATTTAAATTATTTCAGCATTTTGTTGACTCTTCATCATAAAAAAAAAAAATGAATGACCATGTATTGTTCCTGCAAAGGCAAGTGTTTTATTCAGCTTGTATCCTCTTTGCTCAGGATAATAATTGGCCCTTGGGCATTCAAAAGTTTGGTCGTTGTTGAAATAAGTGAACTGGGGGAAGCTTTGAATCAGTTATTTGCCCCTTTTATAATCTTAGAACCACAGTGCTATTAAGGATCTTCAGAGATCCATTGGAAATCATGGCTTTTAAAATAAGAAAGCACTTATATCCCCTTGGCATAGACTCTATCACATTTTAATTCCACTGAGATAAATTCTTTTTAAAAAATTTTTATTGATTGATTGATTTGAGGGAGTAGGGAGGAGCAGAGAGAGGGGGACAAGGCATCTGAAGCCAGCTCTGTGCTGACAGCAGAGAGCCCGATGTAGGGCTCAAACTTATGAACTGTGAGATCATGACCTGAGTCGAAGTCAGACACTCAACTGACTGAGCCACCCAGGTGCCTCCCCCACTGAGATAAATTCTTAAATTTAAAAATTCTAAATATTTTAACATCTTATGTAGCTAAATTTCATGTCATTTAATCATGGACACAATTACAGCTTAGCTTCTGTTGTCTTTTCTTTTTTTTTTTTTTTTTTTTTTTTTTGTAAAGTACTTCTTTTTGTCCAGTTTCTCTCCTCACTTTCATGTACTTATGTCGTTCAGCTTTCCTTCCTCAGGGTGGATAGACTCTGCCTCTTCCCTACTCCACTTGCTTCAGAATTCAAGTATTTCGTGCATATGAGTAGCAGAACTGAGTCACACGTGTAACTTGAACCACACGGGAGTCTGGGTGATACAGTTTTTAGTTGTCCAGATTCTGCATTTCAGGGGGTTGGAACAGATCCTCAGCGAGCTAATCCACAGCATCTACTGACGCCTACTGAAATTATGTGTCAGCTCAGTGTTTAAAGCAGTCTGTAGTCATGAACTCAGAGTTCTGCAGTGCACTCACTAGGGGATGTGCTGGAAATCCACGAAGAGATCACTTGTTTCAGCCGTAGTTTTGCTTTGTGAGTTGAAAATGAAAGTAATTGCTGACTACCTGCCTTCCACCCTGCCCTAGCCCCTGTGTGTGCTGGGGACAGTAACCCATGCAAGCGAGTTATTGCCACCCTGACCCTGGCTCTGATGACGGTAGCTCCGAGATAACTGCCAGTCTCCCGAGAGCCTGGGGATGGCTCTGCTTGTGGGATGTGAGCATTCTACCTCACCAACTCAAGAGCCAGCAAACAAAACTCCAGACTGCTACCAGGAGAATCTTCCTAAAACACAAATCATAGTTACTTCCCAATTTAGGATTTTCCCATCCCATCCTATTTCAAGGATCAAGATAAGCTTATGCTTCTTAAAATGGCATGCAAAGCCTTCCATGATTTGGTCCTATCTACCTCATCTACCTCAAGTCTTTCCTCTGTTCCTTAAACAATTTCAACTATGAGCTATTCTAGTTATATTCTAACTGCATGGAACTGCTGAAAATTACCCACATGTACCATGCTGCTTCATGCTTGTGTGTCTTTACTGATAAAACACCTTGGTTTGAATCCCAGATCCACTATGTTTATAGGGTTATTGCTTAGCACAGGGCCTGGCCTAGAGAAGGTGGTTAGTACATGCTAGTTTTATCAGTATGTGATGCAATAAAATCGTAAAGAAGGGGAAATGTGCTGTCTTTGGGACCAGATAGACTTTTTCGATAGCCCCGATTTAGCACTTCATTGCTCTGAATCCATAGTCCATCACATAACTATCTTGAGTGTCCACTTTCAATAAAGAATGATCTCAGGAATGTGGAAAGATAGTGCATTTGAAGTGTCTGTCACATGCTTGCACGTGGTAGATGGCCAGTTAACGGTAGTTCTTGTCTCTTCCGTTATTTATATCAACTGTAACTTAACTCCTTTCTACTGAGTAACATTGGCTACTGAGGGTCTCAGAATGTCATAGTCCCTCTAAATTTTTTTTTACTGGGTCATTATTTTTCTAACTTGAGTAGCAGGAAATGTCTTATTTGTTCATAGAACTAACTAACTGGCATTCTTGGCTTTGGATTATCACAGCTTTGTGTCCCTCTGTCCACCAGGTGTGAGGGTAGGAGGCAGAAAAAAGAAAGGAAAACAAATAAAGGCCGAACTTGCTCTCTTGTTCCATGGATACTCAGAACTAGAAGAAATCTTTTCCAGATGGTCTTTTGCAATATACTGTACTGTTTCCCCAACCCCAGCTAATATTTTATGTCCATTCTCTACCAAGCTTAATTCAGTTGCTTTCTCCTATCAAATGACTCTTGTCTTTGATATCAGCAGACTCATTTATCTGTTTAGTCTAGTGATAGTATAATTCAGAGATCGTATTTGACATGCAGGTAAGTGATGCCTGTTTGAATCTCATGTTTGAAAGACACATGCAGTTAAATATATTTATTGAAGAAACCTTGTACACAATTTACTGGCACTTGTCATTACTTGTCCATTGCCCTATACATGTAATTTTTGAGGGGAAATCTTAGCCCTGAGGCCTTTTGGCCAGTAGACTGACTTTCGTATTGAATTCTATTGTCCATGAACTTTAAATTCCTTAGAGATGATCAGACTTTAGAGATGTGATGTTATCTGGCACTAAAAAAAATATGTATGTATTGGGGTGCCTGGGTGGCTCAGTCAGGAAAGTGTCTGACTTTGACTCGTCATGATTTCATGGTTTGTGGGTTTGAGCCCCACATCAGGCTCTGTGCTGGCAGCTCAGAGCCTGGAGCCTGATTCACATTCTGTGTCTCCCTCTGTCTCTGCCCCTCCCTGATATGCTCTGTCTCTCAAAAATGAATAAATGTAAAAAAATAATTAAAAAATATGTATATATACGTACATATATATGGATATTTTTACATATGTATGTATATATTTCTAACTCCAATATTATGACATCCTACCATTTATTAAATTTTAACTATGGTATATCTAGCAATCTCTTAGTAAAATTTGGAAGAATTGATGTTCTCCCTAGGACATTTACTAATCCAAGGGGAAGGCCTAGATGTCTTCTACCACCTGGATAGACATTTATAAATTAATCTACATGAGTAAATAGTTCACTAAAGGTATCCTAAAATAAGTTAATATTCTGAAAAAGGAAACTTGATTCTAGATTTGGAGGGCAAAATGGGAAAAGACAGAGCCAATCCACTATTTATTTGTTATGGAGATGGAGATGCCAAACATGTTTAATTATTTACTCAAAGTTACAGAGCTACTTAATGCAAATTGGCATTCAAACTCACTGTTTGAATATTGTTGTATATTAACTGACTGACTTTAAATAAAACTTGGCAACATTTAGTAATTACTGTGAAAAGCTCAGAAATGTTAGTCTCTCTTTCTCTTTCTCTCTTTTTTTCCACAGTGAGAGGAACGGTGTTGAAATAGTTTTAAATGAAGAACACATTGTACTTAATTTTATCCTTTTGGGCAAGGCATTGTACTTTAGCTTTCATGGCTCCTGGGGATGAAAGAGATAACGCGAGTGTTTTTTCTTCTTCCTTTACTCATTCTTCCCTAGTAACCCACCCGCTCCTAAGAGAATAGCATTGCTTCATAGAGACCAGGTGTGTATTTCTTTCCAGTTCCAAAGAAACACAGAGATACTGCAAAGGGAATTTCTGCCACAGTACATCCTTATTTCATGGCATAAGTACATTGGAAAGGAAGGATTCAGTGGGTTCCCTTATCTGTAGTCAAGGGATTTATAAGCTCCTAAAAGAGAAGAGGTAATGATTAAGTACACAAAACTTTATGTATGTATATATGCATATATGTAAGTGTCAAGTCTTCTTTGAGACAGTGAGTTTCTGGTTTATACAAATTAAGACCTTATTTCCCCAAATCTATCTTACAGACCTTTTCAGAGGCAATTAGATTTAATGCGGATTATGGAGTTTTTGAAGTAGTAAACAATGCTCCACAACTTCTGGAAAAGCAACTGAAAAAAATTCTACAAAGCCAGCAACCTCGAAATCCCATCTATGATGTTGTAAGGAAAGGAAAGAATGATATTAAACCTGTTCAAATGAATGCCCCCTATGAAAATGAGACCATTAATGTCAACTACAATATTATGGTAAGAAAGTATACTTGATAAATATACTAGGTAACTAAAGTATTAGGTAAAATTAACATGAGGTTCCTTGGGCTTGCCTTTCTGAAATGTAACTATATTTATTAAATTTTATTGTACTTATACATAGAATTTGTTAGTTGTTGTATCATCTTTTTCATATCAAATGGCCAATTTAATCTAGCAGTTTTGTTGATATTTGATTTTTAATATGAGAAGATTCACATAACTTGCTTTCAATACTTAGGATATAAGGCTAATTTGGGGGAAGTAGAAATATGTATATCCATTATAGTCTAGATGCACTCTAGAGAATGCGAGTACACAGTAAATTTATCTCCTTTGGGTTCTATCCTAACAAGCAGTTGGGAATTATGATTTCTGACCCTCAAGTTAGGCTATGTGACTCTGACCTCCCTGGCATTAAATTCTACTCTCAGTTTCTGGATTTTGTCTCCTTAACATGAGGTAAAAACAAAACAAAACACACACACAAAAACCCAAAAACCGGGGTTCTAACATTGGTTCTTTAACTTACTGGTTCTGTGTTCTTGAACAAATCATTTTGATGAGCCTTATTTTCATCACCTGTCAGATGATACCATCACCACTTACTACTTAGGTTTGTTGTATGGTTCAGCTGAAAATAAAATGAATGTTTAACATTTTCCATGATTTGAAGTGTCTGATGGAACTAGACTAAAATATGTTCAACCCTTAAAACATAGCTCTTCTCCAGCCTGACACTTGTTCAATGCTTCTTTTACTGAATTCCAATATATTTCATGTTTGTTTACTTTCATCAAATTAAATGCATTAATAGTAATACTAATAGCATTTAAAATACTTTTATAAATACTAAAAAAAGCTATGTCATAACATTGTTTTGAAGTTTAAACAAGGAAATCTATTCTGATCTATAAAGCACCATATCAATTATTACAATATTCATTCATGATAAAAAGTCTCAACAATCTAGGTTTAGAGGGAACATACCTAAGCATAAGAAAAGCCATATGTGAAAAACCCACAGATAACATCATCCTCCATGGGGAACAAGTGAGAGCTTTTCCTCTAAAATCAGGAACAGGACAAGGATGTCCACTCTCACCACTTTTATTCAACATAGTACTAGAAGTCCTAGCCACAGCAATCAGACAAGACAAAGAAATAAAGGGCATCTAGATTGGTAAGGAAGAAGTAACATATTTCATTATCTACAGATGACATGATACTATATATAGAAAATCTTAAAGAATTCACCAAAAAACTACTAGAACTGATAGATGAATTCAGTAAAGTTACAGGGTACAAAATTAATATACATAAATCTGTTGCATTTCATGCAAACTCATTCCTAATAAAAACTCATTAAAAAATAAATTACTTAAACTATTAAAGGCTACCCAAAATCAATAGTAAACACTGTAACCATTTCCACTAGATCATAAGAAAAGAAAAAGAATATATCTTCCTTGCAATTCAAAATTATTTTAGACTTCTGGTCCATTGGAGTTGGCGACCTGCAAGAGCAGTTTTGGTACCAGGTGATGGCAGAGGCCAGGCTGGAGTGGTTGAAGGAAAGCTGTGAGAAAGTGTGACAATGCCTATTACTTGAGGAGTTTTCAAGTGTTGTAAGAAAAAAGAAAAAAAAGTGTTGTAAGAAAAAAGAAAGAATTTTTGTTGCACAAAAAATTTTGCAATCAAATAAGACACATCTTTACAGCTTTTGACAGGCACTATTATGGATATTTAACTTCAGAAGATGTCAAGAAAGCATTTAGTCAGGTGGCTCCCAAGTTATCAGAAAGGACTGTTATGCAGGTATTCAGGGCTACTTCAGTGAACAAATCAAAGCACACTTGGTGGAGGGTCCAAAACATCACTACGAGTAGGGAGATAAAACAACCAGAGTCACAACAACAGAGAGCAAGTAACACACTCAAAAAACACCTCCTGAAGGGCCAGGCCCTAGACAGAGTATGACTCCTCTTTAATATAGTAGTGCTCACAGGTGCAGGACACATGACAAGCTTTTAAAACATGTGAGGGACAAAAAACTAGCCAAAATGACGAAATGGAAGAATTCTCCTAAAAACAAATTCCAGGAAGAAATGACAGCTAAAGAATTGATCAAAACAGATATAAACTGTGTAACTGAACAAGAATTTAGAATAATAGTCATAAGATTAATCGCTGGGCTTGAAAAAAGCATAGAAGACAGCAGAGAATCTATTGTTACAGAGATCAAGGAACTAAAAAATAGTCATGATGAATTAAAAAAATGTTGTAAATGAGGTGTAAAATAAACTAGAGGCAGTGACAGCTGGACTGAAGAGGCAGAGGGGAGAATAAGTGAAAAAAGATAAAATTATGGAAAGAGATGAAGCCGAGAAAAAAGATAAAATTCTGGACCATGAGGGGAGAATTAGAGACCTAAGTGATTAAATGAAATGGAATAATATCTGTATCATAGGAGTTCCGGAAGAAGAAGAAGAGAGAGAAAGGGGTGGAAGTTGTACTTGAACAAATCATAGCTGAGAACTTCCCCAATCTGGGAAAGGAAACAGACATTGAAATCCAGGAGGCACAGAGAAGTCCCTTCAGATGTAACTTGAATTGATCTTCTGCATGACATATAGTAAAACTGGCAAAATACAAAGATAAAGAGAGAATTCTGAAAGCAGCTAGGGACAAATGGGTCTTAACCTACAAGAGAAGACACATAAGGGTAGTAGCAAACCTATCTACTGAAGCTTGGCAGGCCAGAAAGGAGTGGCAGGAAATTTTCAATGTGCTGAATAGGAAAAATATGCAGCCAAGAATCCTTAATCCAGCAAGCCTGCCATTCAGAATAGAAGGAGAGATAAAGGTTTTCCCAGACAAACAAAAACTGAAGGAATTCATCACCGCTAAACCAGCCCTACAATGGATCCTAAGGGGGATTCTGTGAGTGGAATGTTGCAAAGAACCACAAAGGACCAGAGACATCACTGCAAACATGAAGCCTACAGATAACACAATGACTAAATCTATATCTTTCAATAATAACACTGAATGTAAATGGACTAAATGCTCCAACCAAAAGACAGAGGGTATCATAATGGATAAAAAAACAAGACCCATCTATTTGCTGTCTGCAAGAGACCCATTTTAGACCTGGGGACACCCTTCAGATTGAAAGTGAGGGGATGGAGAACCATCTATCATGTTACTAGAAGTCAAAAGAAAGCTGGAGTAGCCATACTTACATCAGACAAACTAGATTAAACTAAAGGTTGTAACAAGAGATGAAGAAGGGCATTATATCATAATTATAGGGTCTATCCATCAAGAAAAGCTAACAATTATAAATGTTTACGCACCGAATTTAAAAGCACCCAAATATATAAAACAATCACAAACATAGGCAATCTTATTGGTAAGAATGTGGTAATTGCAGGAGACTTTAATACTCCACTTACAACAATGTACAGGTCATCCAGACAGAAAATCAATAAAGAAACAAGGGCCCTGAATGATACACTGGACCAGATGGATTTGAGAGATACATTCAGAACTTTTCACCCTAAGGCAGCAGAATACAACATTCTTCTCAAGTGCACATGGGACATTCTCCAAGATAGATCACATACTGGTCACAAAACAGCCCTCAATAAATATAAAAGAATTAAAACCATACCATGCACATTTTCAGATCACAATGCTATGAAACTTGAAATCAACCACAGGAAAAAGTTTGGAAAACCTCCAAATGCATGGAGATTAAAGAACATCCTACTAAAGAATGAATGGGTCAGCCAGGCAATTAAAGAAGAAATTAAAAAAATGTATGGAAACAAATGAAAATGGAAACACTGTAGTCCAAACCCTTTGGGATGTAGCAAAGGCAGTTCTCAGAGGAAAATACATTGCAATCCAGGCCGAGCTCAAAATAAGAAAAACCCCAAATACAAAATCCAACAGCACACCTAAAGGAACCAGCAGCAGAACAACAAAGAAACCCCAAGGCCAGTAGGAGAAGAGAATTAATAAAGATCAGAGCAGAAATAAACAATGTAGAATCTAAAAAAACCCCAAAAACAGTAGAACAGATCAATGAAACTAGGAGTTGGTTTTTGAAAAAATAAACAAAATTGATAAACCCTTAGCCAGGCTTCTCGAAAAGAGAGAAGACCCAAAGAGATAAAATCACAAATGCATATGGATTTACCACAACCAATCCCTCAGAGGTACAAGAAATTATCAGAGTATACTATGAAAACTATGTCCAACAAACTGGACAACCTGGAAGAAATGGACAAATTCCTAGACACCCACACACTACCAAAACTCAAACAGAAAGAAATAGAAAATTTGAACAGACCCATAACTACTGAAGAAATTGAATCAGTTATCAAAAATCTCCCAACATATAAGAGTCCCGGGCCAGATGGCTTCCCAGGGGAATTCTACTAGACATTTAAAGCATATTTAATACCTATCCTTCTCCAGCTGTTCCAAAACATGGAAACAGAAGGAAAACTTCCAGACTCATTCTATGAAGCCAGAATTACCTTGATTCCCAAACCAGACAGAGACACCACAAAAATGGAGAATTACAGGCCAATATCCTGATGAACACGGATGTAAAAATTCTCAACAAGATAGTAGCAAATCAAATTCAACAGCATATAAAAAGAATTTTTCACCATGATCAATTGGGATTCATTCCTGGGTTGCAGGGCTGGTTCAATATTTGCAAATCAATCAGTGTGATCCATCACATCAGTAAAAGAAAGGATAAGAACCATATGATCCTATCAATAGATGCAGAAAAAGCATTTGACAAAATACAGCATCCTTTCTTCAAACCCTCAAGAAAATTGGGATAGAAGGAACATACCTAAACATCATAAAAGCCATATATGAAAAGCCCAAAGCTAATATCATCCTCAGTGTGCAAAAACTGAGAGCTTTTCCCCCTGAGATCAGGAAGATGACAGAGATGTCCACTCTTCCCA